GCCTATGGAATTTAACGCAGTCAGTAAATATTTACCGATTTATTTTTTTCTGTGCACAATGCCACGAATGACTGTGCCAATGTACAAAGTCATTGACGATCGAATTTTCGATGGTTGCATTCATCATTTTCATTGACAACAATTTATGGTTTTTATCGAATTATTGGTGGAAAAACATAATAATGGGCTTTGTTGGGCAAGTGAAATGATTAATCAATGTTCCACGCGACATTTTCAAAACCAATAAATGAACGTAACAAACTGGTTTTTACCACAAAATCACAAAGATTCAAGTAATTTCACGAAATTCAAACGAAACTTACCTCTAATATGTATGGTATGCTGCATATGCAATTTGGTATATTTCCCACGTTTAATAAGCTTACGTCGTTTTCAAGAATAATAAAGTTCAACTTGCATGTTTTGGTCTAGTTTCTGGAGCAAAGTAAGTTGGTTGCCTAACGATGCGTCATAGAAAATGCGTCACAAACACTATGTGGTCCAACTGAAATGTGTGTGTCTGGTGCTTACCAACAAGGCACTTACCAAAGAATTATTTTTAAATTTGTTTTTTCATTACACGTCACTTTCCATTGTAAATAGTAAATTATTTGAAGTGTTTATTTCAACCCTCATTTTTCACAAGTTTTAATGAAAGAAAAGAAACCATTAAAATGTTAAATTGAATATATTCAGTCATTGAATGTGAAAGCAATTATTGTAGAGAAAATGTAATGAAGAATGTTCTTATGCAGTTCAGGAATTAAATGAACAAATGAAGCACTTTAATTCATTCTAACTTGTTCAATCTTAATAATAAATGAATTATAAATGATAAGACAAATAATTTTGGCATTACTTAATGACATTTTCGGTGGATTGAAGAGCTGGTTTTTTTAATTTTCAAGAAGATGTTTGTATAGGACGAAATGAATTTCGCAAGACCAAGGATCATAAGTGGCAATAAGACAAATGGTATTTATTTGAAGAATCAACAAAAAATTATTAATAATAATAATAATGATATACAATGAAAATGTCTATAAGTACTTTTGACTCGCTCACAATCTGTATATTTTTGCGAGACATCTTGAACCAAGAACCATAGAATATTACTCAATCATTATTTTTTCCATTAAAAACCGTTTTCGAAATTTGATGAAGCGATTCATTTGTTTTTTATTGTTTAAAAATAGATTCGCATTGTATATAAATGTGTCTTCTCGTATCGTATAACATATAAGACTTTTAAGATCACCTTTATACCCTTTCTAATTTTTTTTGGCAAAAACCAAATCACATTTTTTTTTAAAATATAATGTAGTCAAATTATAATTTGACACACAATATAATACTCAAAAACCAATTATCAAAAAAAAAATACGATGGAGTTTTGAAAGAATCAAATTGATAGGAACGAATTATAAAGTGACCGAAAGTTTAGCATAAAAGCAATTTAGAAGGACATTAAAGTAATCATAAGGTATGAATAAAAAAAAATGAAAACAAAATTCGTGTCAAAGATGATATTACGGTTTAAGTTGGACAAGATCAAAGGAAACAGGTCAACAATGAAGAATGTACAGAATAATCTAATTTCCCCCAAAAAAAAACTGTGTTTACTGTGATCTATAAAAATTCACCATAAAAAAGACAAAAAAAAAAACCAAAATTGTATTACTATCACAATCAAAAAGAATATTAATTGTAATCTCATTTGTAAACATTTAACACCATGGCTAAAACAAACACAAAATTGGAACAATAAACTTGAAATACTCCAGTAACATTGTAAACAAAATCTACAAAAAAAAAACAGAAATAAAATTTTTTGCGTTTCTTATTCACAAAAAACCAAAAAAAAATCCGTTCTTTTTATTGAATTTGAAATAATTTCTTCGGTTTCAGGTGGGAAAACGAGTTTGAAAATGAAACAACATTTATTGGTCTGGAAATTTGTGAAAATATTTATTTTTGTAAATTTTTATCAATTTTCATTTCCGCGTCGATTCCATCGTGTGGTCATCGCTATCAATATTATGTGTATATATAATTAAAAATGTAAACCAGACTCCTATTTAACATTTTCGCTAACATAAACTAAAGTACAATTTTGTCATTTTTATCATTGAGTTTTCTTATTTTTTCTTAAAAAAATTCTATTCGGTAAATGTTTATATTCGGCACTGAGATAAACATATATCAAATAGTTAAATTCATCACATTTCTTATTAAATTCAAGACGTGCATTGATTTTTTTCGCTCAAAATTCACCGTCCAACCAAATCGCAACTCGAATCACATTCAAATCAAAAGTTGTTTTTTCCCAACTCAGAACTAATAACTTCTTGAAATGTACTGTGATTACATACATTTGGCAAATGAAAATCATTATTTCAACAAAAAAGGAGATAAATGAATGAATCTAAACTAAAATTAATTTGCAGTGACCGGTTCGCGCATATTTCTATGTTTGCCTAAATACGCTAGGTAGCTTAGATATGCCAAGCATAGCCGCAAACGCAACCGACGCATCGCCGTTCACTCTATATGAACAATGCACATGTTCGTTTATGCAGACGACCGTGCGCATACAATATAGCTCGAATCGAATGGCGACGGATACGTTGCGGCTTGCGTCTCCGCTATGCTTAGCATAGCTATCAGGCATAGAAATATGCGCGAACCGGTCATTGTTAATTTGTAATGAATTTGATAAATGATAATTATAATCTTTTAATTTGTTTTTTTTTTTACTTATTTGATGATTTAATGTTAGAAGAGCTTGAATTACTAAGTGAAGTACTACTGCTGAGCGATGCGCTGAAACTCTGGCTATCACGTCGTCGTGGTGGCAATGTAAAGTGATATGAATCATCAGTTTGCTCTGAAAACGGTGGTCGCGCTCGTATACCATAGGTTGTTGGTCGTTCTTCTGGTATTTTGGAAAGCATCAATTTTAGAAGATTGTACTGAAAAAAATGGGTCAATGAATATTATTAGTACGAGGGTTGCTCCATAATTTTTTTTAAAAACATATATAACACAGTTGTTTTTTGTCGAAAATGGTTTTATTGTTTTTCAAAATATTCCCCGAGATGATCGATACACTTTTGCATTCGATGAAACCATTTGTCATAGCATTCGTGCCACTCCGAAACTGATATCTCCAAAACGTGTGTTTTGAACGCTTCAACTGCTTCTTCTGGTGTCGAAAATCGTTGACCACGTAGTTTTTTCTTCACGCTTGGGAACAAAAAAAAGTCATTGGGTGCCAGGTCAGGACTGTACGGTGGATGACCCATCAGTTCGATGTTTTGACCGGTCAAAAATCGAGTAGTTTGAAAAGATGTGTGAGAGCTCGCATTATCGTGATGAAGAATTATTTTGCGACGGTGGTTGTTTTTTCTTATTTCACCAAACACTTCGGGCAAACAAATGGTGGTATACCAATCAGAATTGACGGTCTTACGATCCTCTAGTGGAACGGTTGCCACATGACCACTTCTCCCGAAAAAACAGGCGACCATTCGCTTCGAAGTGCTTCTTGCTCGAACAACTTTCGTTGGGTTATCTTCATTTTGGAAGACCCATACAGTCGACTGCTGTTTCGTTTCGGGCTCATAGGCATATATCCACGATTCGTCACCAGTGACGATTTTATTAACGTCTTTTGAAGCACCACGATTGAATTTCTTGAGCATTTCTTTACACCAACTCACACGAGCCATTTTTTGTTCATCGGTCAATTTATGTGGGATCCAACGAGAGCAAATCTTTTTTACGGCTAAATGTTCATGCAAAATTGTATGTATGCTGTGGGATGAAATGCCCAAAGATGCCTCAATCTCACGGTAGGTCACATGACGATCTTCCATAATCAGTTTTCTGACAGCATCGATGTTTTGTGGCACAACAGCCGATTTTGGACGACCTGTATGAAACTCGTCTTTGAGCGAACTACGACCGCAACGGAATTCTCGGTACCAGTTATAAATTGTCTGAAGGGTTGGTGCTTCATTGCCAAAGGCCAAATGAAGTCGATCGAAACACTGTTGTTGAGATAATTTACTTCGAAAATCGTAGTAAATCATTTTACGAAAATCTTCACGTGTAAAATTCATTTTTTTGTTGAGTCGCAGTTTACCAGTCACTGTAAACAATACAAATAGCGTTCGTACGACAAAAGGTTCAGGGCACGAATACATACCAAAACATCAAACTTTACGAATATGACAATGGTTTACATCGGGCAACACTATAAGTACCATTTTAAAAAAAATTATGGAGCAACCTACGTACGAAAATCTGTCCTCAAGATGTATTTTATAGTCAAGTATACATACCTCGTGTTGGAATTTTTCGTGGAAATCATCGGGATATATGTTTGAGCGTAGTCTTTTAATAGTTGCAATTCGTTCCATTTCGGTGCTGAAAACCATTAACAATTCGAACAGAATCAAACCCAACGAATAGATATCAACTTTGTAGTTATATGGACGACCGTGTAATTGTTCTGGACTCATGTATATTGCAGTGCCAACTTGTTGCGTATGTTTTGCACACGACGGTAAACCGCTTTCATCATTGCCGCATGGAGTTCTTGATTTCAAATTTTCGGACATGTCTGTCACCAGACCGAAGTCGCCAATTTTTATTCGGCCATCCAACGAGAAGAATATATTGCTTGGCTAGAATATGAAAAAAATAAAATAAAAAACAAATGAGAGGTAAGTCATACAGTTTGTGAATTGTCAATTCAATCACTTACCTTTAAATCACGATGAATGAGTCCCTTGAGATGAACATACTCAACTGCTTCGACGATTTGCTTGAAAATGCCATGACTTTCATTGGCACGAACGTGCGAATCACTTTCGAAGAGCCAATCTTTGAGACTTTCTTTACGACACAATTGCATTTGAATATAGAGAAATGACATGGACGATACGGACGGGGCTGGATTCGTTGGCATTGGAATTTGAACGGAACCAGTGCTTGTTAAATCTAATGACAGTGGACGTCGATGTGTTCGCTTAAATGGAACTTTCTTTTTATCATCATTGACTTCTTTTTCAGAAATCACAGAGCAAGCATTATTCATAAAATGCATATCAATCTCGCAACCGTTTCTCTTCTGTGCAATGCATGCACCACTATCCGTCATCGAATAGCTTCGCTTTTTCATGCCGAGATTTTTGTTCAAATTTTTTCGCGTTTTCAATAATTTTCGTTGGTGTGATATTTTATTTGAAAAACTACAGCGATTGGATGGTTCGAATACTGAATTTAATTCTTTATAACTACTTTCTCTATCATCATCATCATCATCATCACTACTTGTGTCGGAATCGGTGCTTATGTCATTTGTTGCATCGACCGCTTTGCTGTTTTTATCCCCTTCATTATCTTCAGCCTCAAAAACGATGAACGAATCATCATCATCGTCGTCATTATCATTATTATTATTAAATTTTCCATTTGATTTGAAATTCGTCTTACGAATCTCATCATCAAAATTAACACATTCATTGGTTTGTAGGCCTGAGATCACAAAATCCAATTTTGTTTTATTGAACAATTGACTGCGAACATTGCTAGTTTTTGGTGCGTTCGATGCAAATGATTTCGATGGTTCATCGATTGATGGTGAATCAATATCGATTGAATGTGACATTGCATAACGATCCATCCATATTTTATCCTCCTTTTCTTGCCAACCCGGTGGTGGCGACTCAACCCACGCTTGAAAATATCGCACAATATTATGATGTTCACAATTTGCTAATGTTTTTACTTCTCTCATCACACGTTCGCGTGATTGCTTGCTCTTTGGCAGAACAATTCGTTTGATAGCATAATTGCAATCATCAATTTTATTTTTCACTTCAAAGACTACACCAAATCCACCTTTACCTAAGCATTGGAGTAGATCGAAATCGGTTTGAAAACGTGATTTAAATTCGGGTTCCGCTTCACTGGTATTCGATTCGGAGAGACTGCGCTTGGTATGGTATTCAATGGCCGGCAATGGGAAATTACTATCAATTGGTTCAGGTGTTGCCGGAACTTTTATTTCCACATGTCGTTCAACAACCACAACTTCCTGAAATTGAACACGATTTTGTTAAAGAAAGAACAAAAAAAGAGCATAAATGAGCAACTTACTGGTTGATTTGGTCGGCGTTGCGTTAAAACAACGTTAAAAACCAGAATTGATAAAACGATCAATACGATTTCACGCCACCAATACCACAGAGAAACGAATTTGATTAACGGTGTTGGACGGAATCGTTCGCCTTCCTCGGAAAAATCAGTTTCATTCACGCCAAAACCAATATTCTCATCATTTTCGTTTGAAGTTTTCTCCTTTTCACACTTTGATTTATCATCACGTTTGGAATACAAATAAAATCCATTACCATTGACATATTCCGATCCATAGAGTACGGAGATAGCTGTAGCTGAATAGTTCTTTTTCACCAAACCTCTTTCTTCATTGGATGTTGTAGCGACAATTGATGTTTCGTCTGTCGTCTCATACTCGATTTGAGCCAATCCAGAGCTGCTGGCATCAATTGGTTTCCATGGGATGGGTGCAAAACTTTTCGTCTCTACCATATCACCGACCATATGATCAATGATATTTGCTTGTGACGATCGCAATTGTTCACTTTCTTGTATGTATAATTGACGTTTAAACATGCCAATGTAAATGGATGGCGCAACTTTAGCAATTTCATCATCATCATTCTCATTGACTTTTGATGCGTCCGTTGATTGAGTCCAAGATTTTCCTTCAAATTTCCACAATTCCGGCACCATTTGAAATAAATCGATCGGTTTCAATTCATTATTCTCATCGCGTTTCCATACATTCACAATTGGATAATCGAATTTATATTTCCACACAATGACATTCGGCGCATTTTTACGAACGGCACAAATAATACCCTCTGGCACCACAACACGAACATCTAAATTTGTGAGCATTTCATTGGTACCACTGTTTGAAGTTGCATGACAATCACCAGATGATCGAATCGATTCCACTTCATGTTGTCCCACGCTGAAATTCCATCGCTCTTGTCCTGTTCTCGCTTCAATGGCACGCACTGTTTGTGTTTTACGGCGCACTACAATTACTTCTTCATCAATTTCTGGCGGTGATGGTGCGGAATTTATTGTTGAACTTGAATCTTTTGGCGGCAATTCACTGCCATCCGATGGATCAGCATCAATATCAGTACTATTAATACATCCACGCATTGAACACTCGTAAATTATTTGTCCGCTATGCGCTGACACACCATATGAAATTGTCTCTTTGCCACCTATATTAAGAAATTTCGGTTATTGCAACATTCGTGACAAAAAAAAAATGGATTTTGTAAAATTGATTTAATCAAAATGCGTCACCTGATATCACCAGGTCATCACTGTATTTATATGAGGAGCTAAGTAAATTATCAGCTGTGATGGGTATTGGTTCAACTGTTTCCCCATCAAATTTGTATATCGAACCACTGAGCGATGGAATCATTCTCACCCACTGTCCATTATTTGTAAGTTCCAAATTTTGAATGCTTGACGATATCATTGGGCCGGGCGTCGTATTTATTGTCCATTTCTTTTGGCCATCATCCAAAATATCCAAAGCCGATATTTTTCCGTCTAATGTTGAAACGTACAGCAGGCTACAGATGAATGAATGAAAAAAGAAACGATGAATATATTATTATTATTTATCAATGTGATTTTTAACAATGAATGTGTTGTTACCCAGCATTTTTATCAATTTGTTGTTTTGTTTGTTCATCATCGCAAAAAGGTAATCGTGGTTGTTGTGATTTGGACGATTCGTGTGTAGCCGACACAAATGGTGCATAACAAATGGTCAGCAGAATCACAAGTAGAATTAGCTTGAAAAATTCACAAAGCAATCGCATGTTTATATGTGCGCCAGTTCGTCACTTGCTTATAAGTCCGATATGGTTGGTACTTCGTTGTTTGATCTACAGTGTCGATTTTAATGTGTATATGCGTTTGTGTTTTATTTTTGATGAAAATCGGTTATTTTTAGTGTATTGCAACTGTTTTCGATGGGCCGACGTTGTGATTATCAACAGTTTGCGGAGAAACAGCTAGCCATTCGACTGATAACAGCAGCAGCAGCAGAAGTGTGGCCTTGACGTTTAGAAGCAATTGAAACAAAGCTATGATGAATTGACGGAATATACATTGGGCGTACACTATACAGTGCACAATTGAACATCTCGTGTTAAGATTTGTAACTTTGTGTTTTTTGCGTTTACAAATCGAATTTTTCACATTACAATATCAAATTTTCGCCGATCGAATTTGGCTCAATTCGATTTTTTTTGCTCTTTTTTCTTTTTGGAAGATGGTATTGCACAATTTGTGGCAAGTGTTACAAACACTCAACCAACTCAAATTTCAACCATCTTCATTTTCAATTAGTACACCCACTCCTGATATAAACGGTGTGGATAGTTTATTTGGTTCTTTTTTTACTTGTAGCACTGACACTATTCACAATTAAGAGTGTGAGCTTAAGAAACTTCTCGATTCAATAGAATCCCAAATGATTGCTTTTCAATTGAACGATTTATGAATTTGTCGATTTACATCAACTTATTCATCTGTCATGTCTGTTTGATGTGACTACGTGCGAGGAACGTATTACGTTTTCTATTGACTTTTGCCTGACTAATTATTGGTATAAAAAAATGTTTAAGGTTTGTTTTTTTCTCTCACTTCCACTTTGCAAAGTGTGTACAAATAAAAACACATTCAATTTGAGACGTGTTTCAACGCGTTCTCACCAGCTGTGGCAGACTCTATTGTACGAGTACCAATGAATATGCGTTCACTAATACACACAAAAAAAATTCATCGTGTTCCAGATGTGTGTGTGTGTGTGTGTGTGTTTGACAATCTTATTTGAGGTTCGGTTCACACAACCACCGACATATGGAACAAAATTATTTTAAAATATGCCGCGAAAGCAGCTCGTGAAAGTGTTTTTTTCTATCAAATTTTGCAAGATGATTCATCGATGATGGCACACGCAAACTTATTTTCATTCAAATGAAACCGTGCGCTTCAATAAAATTTGAATGAACATATGTTTTTTTTCGGTCAATTCATATAAAAAAAATCAGCTATTTTTGGAAATAAAATGCTTTGCTACCACACAAAATTGTGCAGATACCGCATTTTCTTATTGCCTCGTATAACAGAAGTGCTGAACAATCATTTATATTAGAACTAATGTATCACGTTGCAATGTCAATCAGTGCTACCACAAAATTCCATTAATCGGGAATTTACTGTAATTTTTTGTTTTGTTGAAAATATTGTAATTGAAAAAAATAAATATGTTTAATACCTTTGAATGATGACGGTTCAATTATTCTATATTATATTATAAAAAAAGATTAAAAAAAACTAAAATGATGCACTCGTAACCAATGCAATGTAATGCAAAAGAAGTAATGAAAGAGCGCGAAATCTGAAAACGCAGATGTGAGTATATGAACACGACTTAACGAGCATAACGCAATTGGAAGCGTTCAGAAATACGTAGCGCAATGTTGGTTTGTTTCGCGCCGCAAAAGCAATCCATATCAATGCAAACAAAGTCATGTGTGTTTGTATGTTCTGTTCGGATACCGTGTGTAGTAGATATTATGTTGCGTCGCACACGTCAGAAACGTATATGTTGGAATGTTTTACGTTTTGACACATAGTGAACGTTTCAGATGAACTCTTCGTGACTCGAAGAAGTTCGTGTATGCTTTACGTGAAAAAACTGGATTTTTTCTTTTTTTATTTGAAATACGATTACGTGTTCTTTTATGATTCGTTAAATGTTTTTTCAAAAGAATGTTAAAACTAATTTTGAAGAAAATAAGTCATAAACTATTTTTCTGACTTTCAAAACCACAGTTGAATAAACCATATTCAATAAGCCATTTTTTGAATTTTCAATGTTATTCTTGAAGCCAAGAAAAACCATCATTATTTTTTATTTTCAAATCAAGTTTGGCATCAATAAATTTTGTCAAGCAGACATTTTCAAGGGCAAATTAGTTAAAATGAAAAAAATGTCAATGAAAATATATTTGACTCAAGATATTGATATGTGAGTGTTACAATAAACTTATAAACTAATTCAAAATTAACAATGGTATTAACTGCGATCCATGCCACCACTTTACCGAGTGTATTGATTGGCTTCCTCGATTGCATATAATAACACGTTTCTATTAAACATAAAAAAATAATAAAACGATTAAAATCTGAATTTTATTCAGTTTCAAACTAAAGACAACTCACGTAGCTGCACCACTGTATCGTCTGACAGCTTTATTGACACCGACCAGAGTAATGTTTATATTATTATAAACTCTTAAACTTACGCATTATAGTCATTCGTTCCACTATATGTGTAAAAATACCAGGCAATATATTGAATTAACTGGTCAGTTGAGCTGACAGTACGTTAGCCAGCTAAATGGGCTAAAACAATAGACGTTATTGTTTTAATGATGAATCACTTTTCTTTTTTTAATAGAAGTGATTGTTCATTATAACAATAACTTCTATTGTTTGAGTCCATTTAGCTGGCTAACGTACTGTCAGCTCAACTGACCAGTTAGTTCAATATATTGTCTGAAAAATACAAACCAATATTAATTAATCATTTAATTTAACGCATATTCTTAAACTTACCTTGAGATCACTCCATGTTCTTTCAAGCTAAAAGAAAACAATAATTTTTTGAAAAGAATTAAAATTGGGTTTTTTTCTTGTCAATAGAAAAATTCAAATTTACCACCCAAAAGTAAAGGCGTTTGCTGTTATTACTAAGCAATTGCTCAGGACTGGAATAAATAATTCGCAATTAGTTTTTTTTTGTTTTATTGGTAATTCATGATAAATGTACTAACGTACCTTGTTATCAATTCTTGCATTGTTATGACAGCGCTAAATTATTAAAAAGAAATATTATTAAATTTATCAATGATTGCTTACTGTTTCCCTTTTTCAAATGAGAAAATGAACTTAAGATGATCCGCTGGAAAGAATAGAAAAAAGTATTTCGTTAATTGTAAAGTTTTGAGATTGAAAGAGATGAATTTCATTTTAAATAATTATAATCAGCCAATTTACCTAGCCATCATAACGACTGCAACAGCCACGAAATGTATATTACATTTTAATTGGATATTTTCTGCAACAAAGTTAACTCAGAAACTGATGAACTTAAATGAGTTTCACCTCCTTTTTATAGGGAAGATTTTTTAATTAAGCACGTGGATTGGAATGGCAATTATATTATGAATATGTACCAATATTTTATTTCGAAATTTGGCACGCAGTTAATATCATTAATAATTTTGAATTATTTTATATTTTATTGTAACACTCATTGTGATTTCACCCTATCATGTAAAAATGATATGTGTATGTAAAAATGATGTGACTATCAATTATCCACTTTTTAGAAGTATATGCAAAGATGGAACTTGGTTCGCTTAACTCCTCAGCATCCATTTTCTCCAGCACTTCTCATTATTTCACACGAAAACAGTACACATTTTGAATGCCACAATGACTAGGAAATATGGGATCATACAGTGTGAGTAAGAAACATGGTCTTACAATAGAATTTTTAATTTTAATATATCGATTAAAAATGTTAATATCCGAGATATATATCAAATTATGATTTATACGGAAAATTACCAAGAGTACTTTCATGTTTGTTAACCTTCAAAACGTTGATGAACATACTGTCAATTATAGGAACATTTTCTAATATTTTCTCTATTACAAAATTCATTCCATTTCAAAAGCATTAATTAATTTTGGCAAACATATATAATTTTTTTTTTGTAAAATGGTTAAGCTATAACCTGTAATTAAATATTGGACGTCAAATCAATTGTACAGTAAGGTAATTCGTTTACATTTTGAATATGCTTGTATATTTTCAATATGTAATTATTCAATTTAATGTTGACAAAAATAGCTATGAATTTCGGCTATAAAAGTGTATGTGTAAAGCGTTAAAATGCAGTTTATTTTGAAAATGGTTGCGCTCGAATACATTCAAAAGCATATGGAAATATTGGGCTTCTGTCCTACAGAGGATGGTAGTTCTAAGTTCATAACGATTGTAACTCGCGTGATTGTAGTGTGGATATGTTTTGGAATGGCACTCATACCGTCAAATTACTACGTTTTTACGCATACCGAAGACCCCGAAGCAATCATAAATTCGTTGATTCCGATACTGGGATTTGTTCTGGTTCTCTTATCGTACATCACTTTTGTTTTCGAAGGGCATCATGTTGTACATCTTTTTGTATGCCTTAGAACGTTAGTGAAGAGACGTAAGTGATATTTTTTTTCTTTTTTTTCATTTTCATGCACATATCCATTTTGTTTGTATGTTGCAGGCAGTAAATCTAGATCGATGTTCATGTATGCAGATGCTGAAAGAAAATCTTATCTTGTGACCAAATGGCCACCACGTGTGACTTGTATAGATTTTAGCGTAAATTCAGTTATTATTGCTGGCCATCAAATCCTCATGGATTACATACAAGGTGACATTGACCCAAAACATTGGACTTTAACTTATCAATTAAGGTGGGAGGAAATATAATTCCTTTGAAATATACGTGAAAATACATTTAAAAGTTGTTTCGACTTTAGCTTTCCCTTTGATCAACATACATACTTTGGATTCTTACTTGTGAACATTTTGCAAAACATAAATGTTTGGATTTACTTTATAATCTTGACTCTGGTCATTGGATATTTTCTGAGCATAACGTTTTACTTGGAAGCAATTTGCGACGATTTTGCGAGTGTTATTGCTGACTTGGACAATTCAGTGACTACTGGATACGATGCTATGGCATTGAAACTCATTTTAGCAATACAATTACAGAAAAATGTAATGGAGTAAGGGCTATCAAATATATTCATTCTTAGTTCGAGACTGAATTCCGTAACAAAATTAATATGAATAAGGACATGTAGAGGGGATTTACGGGCTTACCAAAATAAATTATCGATGCACTTTGAAATATCAACAATTTTGCGCTTTTGGGACACATTTTTAAGAAATAATCAAGTGTTGTATCTCGGATGTTAAGAATCAAAGAAATTGTTGGCGATCGCACAAATCGTACAAAAACTTTTTTTTCGCTTGAAATGTGTGGATCCGATATTTTATCAAATTGCTTTGCTCCGTTTATTTAGATTAATAAGTCCTTTGAGGCAGATAATATATTGAACTAACTGGTCAGTTGAGCTGACAGTACGTTAGCCAGCTAAATGGGCTAAAACAATAGACGTTATTGTTTTAATGATGAATCACTTGACTTGTTTTAATAGAAGTGATTGTTCATTATAACAATAACTTCTATTGTTTTAGTCCATTTAGCTGGCTAACGTGCTGTCAGCTCAACTGACCAGTTAGTTCAATGTATTGTCTGCTTTGAGGTCTTTTTCAGGAGTAGAAATTTCAAATAAAAACTATTTTCAAATATATTCTCTATAGGTCATTCAAGGAATTGGTTAAAATTGTGACTGGGACAATATTCGTGCATGTAATTTTCGATACAATTTTTATATCGGCCACCTTCTTTCAATTGGAATCGGTACAGGAAAAGTACAAATATGAAGATTTGGTTAATTTAACTTATTTTCTTTTCTTCTAGACTGTTGTCAATTTCGATACAAAATTAGTTATGGCTATTTTTGCTTCTCTGGTGGCCGTTTTGTCATTGCTGCCCTACTGTTACTATGCTTCAAGCATCACATTGAAAATTCAAAACATGGCTTATGTTGTGTTTGAATCGCGTTGGTATGAATTGCCGGTTGAATTACAGAAGAATATGAAACCAATAATTGCTTGTGCTCAAGTAAAGCGTACCGTCAACGGTTATGGTCTATTCAACTGCGATCTTGAAGGGTTCATGAAAGTGAGATAAAGAATTTTTTATTTGTTTTTTTTTTTTCAAAATTTGTTTTAACATTTTTTAAATCATTTTAGATCATAAAAACATCATTATCGTATTATGTGATGTTTAGAAGTTTTTCAACCCGTTAAACACGAATTATAAATATGGAAAACTTTGAATATTTCTTTTATTAAAGTATTTATTGTGTAGAAAATGAAATGACGATTTAATTGATTGTAAAAGAACACGTAATCGTATTTCAAATAAAGTGGAGCGGTTTTGTAAAAGTACCCCGCAATCTCAGAGTAAATTTACAAAATACATGTTACAAACGATTTTGTAAAACTACCCAAAAAATTTGCACGTAAATGACTGTTACGTTACAATTGCTTAATTATACAATTGATACAAAACTTTTTTCGGAATGCAAGAATATTTTATGACGTTAGAAAATTCCAATTGCCATTCCAATCCACGCGCTTAATTAAAAAATCTTCCCTATAAAAAGGAGGTGAAACTCATTTAAGTTCATCAGTTTCTGAGTTAACTTTGTTGCAGAAAATATCCAATTAAAATGTAATATACATTTGCTTTTCTTTTCGTTGCTGTTTCAGTCGTTATGATGGCTAGGTAAATTGGCTGATTATAATTATTTAAAATAAAATTCATCTCTTTCAATCCCAAAACTTAACAATTAACGAAATACTTTTTTCTATTCAATCATTGATAAATTTAATAATATTTCTTTTTAATAATTTAGCGCTGTCATAACAATGCAAGCATTGATAACAAGGTACGCTAGTAATAGGTAATTACCAATAAAACAAAAAAAAACTAATTCCGAATTATTTATTCCAGTCCTGAGCAATTGATTAGTAATAACAGCAAACGCCTTTACTTTTTGGGCCGGTAAATTTGAATTTTTCTATTGACAAGAAGAAACACCAATTTTAATTCTTCTCAAAAAATTATTGTTTTCTCTTAACTTAAAAGAACATGGAGTGATCTCAAGAGTTAAATTAAATCATTCATTAATATTGGTTTGTATTTCTGCACATATAGTGAAACAAATGACTATAATGCGTAAGTTTAGGAGTTTATAATAATATAAACATTACTCTGGTCGGTGTCAATAAAGCTTTTTAATCATTCATTTAGTGCAAGGACCCAGGTCAGACGATACAGTGGTGCAGCTACGTGAGTTGTCTTTAGTTTGAAACTGAATAAAATTCAGATTTTAATCGTTTTATTATTTTTTTATGTTTAATAAAAACCCGTTATACGCAATCGAGGAAGCCAATCAATACACTCGGCAAAGTGGTGGCATGGAACGCAGTTAATGTCATTGATAATTTTGAATTATTTTATATTTTTACTGTAACACTCAATTAATATCCCAAAGAATAAAATATGTGTTAATCAATTTTTTTTTTCATTTTATTCAATTTACACTAAAAATTGTCTGCTTGAGCTTACGTTAAAGTACTTGCTTTGAAAACACTATTCAATTACAGAATGTGTGCAGTTGGTATGAGTTTCAACGTTTCATAACAGTTTTGAACATAATATAATATGAACCGGCTGTATTCAAGATCTGTTAAACATGTGAAAATAATTCTAATTAATTAAGATTAATGGAATAAGATGACTAAATAAAACTTTATGTTTACCTTCTTAAATGTTTCTAACGAGCAGTTAATAAATCCATATCCAGAAAAAAACTTTGGACGCTCTGAGTTCTGTATGATTAATGGGAGGTCTCTTTGTATGTGACATGGAAATTCATACCAAATGAAAGTATGATAAGCACTATCGCCAATCGACTGTAACCGCAATGAAATGTGCGCCGAATAGTAGCAGTAAGGCAATGTTGTTGCAATGCTCACAGTCGATGCAAATATCAAAATGAAAAAATCCGGATTGATATGTTTAGAAGCCTGTTAAAACGTAGCGTATATGCGATAATATTCTATTTCTAATTTAGTTCAAAATGATCAAATTCTTTACCAAATCCAGTTGATATATCGATGTTGAACAAAATACGGCGCCACATAAAAGTTGGAAAAATATAATTCCCGTCACAATACTACTCAGTTGATGAAAAAGTCTGCAAAAAAAATCTACATTTTATGGTGTGTGCCAAATATTCAACGAAAATACAAACTCAATAATTTGAATGTTGAATTTAACTCCATCAAATAGGCGCTCTTTTACAGTGTTTATTGATTGTTTTGGTTTTTGTTCGATTTGATTTAATTGGCGCATTAATTTGTCGAAATTTTCAGTAAAAGCATCCAGATAAAATGATGAACCGAGGAAAAAAGCCACTTGACTTGTTATCAAAATCGCATAAGTGTGTAATGCTATGATCACCATAATTAAGTAACCAAAATATCCATGCAAAGTGTGAACATCAAATGGATAGCTCAATTTATACATTGAGTACCATGTGGCTGGATCACTTCGGCCGGGAATCATTTCGAATATCACCGTATATGTTGTGGCAAAAATCAACACAAAATCGTAGTTCACAATGAAAACAATAAGAGGCCACTTTGCAACAAAAGTGGATTTCACTTCCGCCTTTTCGTATAAAACTCTTGATTCGTGATTTTGACAAATACCTACAAAGAGTGCTTCATTAATCATTTATTCTATTTCAAACTAAAGAAATAATACGTGCGTAATTTAACCAAATTTTCAATTTGATTCAGGAATTTCGATACTTTGTATTTATTATTGTAAAATGTCCAATAGCCTCCGCCCGATGCCGTGTTGGCAGACACTTGCATTACAGCGAATAGAACACTTTCAGTATCCGAAAAATGCGAAACGATATATTCTATGCTGACACCAATTGTACATAGTGAAATCGATAGCATCATCCAGTTGATTATTTTGCTGATAGTTCGCTCTCGTTGTGTGGCATTTTCATCGTTTAAACACATTCCAAACACTTTCAAAAGTTTTTTATTTAATTTTATAACTTCCATTTTGCTACACAGATTTTCATTGGCAACGATTAAGAAAAATAAATCCTCCAAATTCACAACATTATCATGAACTATTCAACTGGACACTCTGTGAGAATTGTTATGTTGGTTGCGCTTTTATTTGATCACTAATGTAACGAAATTTACAAAAAATCGGAAGACACGACAACGTTTAACAACGTTGATTATATTGTTTAGTTAGGGTAAGACAGAAAATTTACCTTATAATTATAGAGCTTTGAAGAATTATTAATTATTAAAATGTGAAATATTTTATTCCTTTTAAATCAAAAGGCGGCGACATTTAAATGAAGAAATCATTCATTGTGCTTTGGAGGTATTAATTCTAAACTAAATGGTTACTCCTCTTCGAAAAAATCTATTTTCTATAACACTATCTATTGGTTTATTCAGTCATCAAACAGAAAGAAAAAAATCTCATCATGTAATATATTTACATTGTTTGAAATTGTCGAAATATTTTATATGTAATTTAAATAAAAAAATAAGTGAACCGGCCGATATCAAAATTCAAAAAAATCGTTTATACCACTAAAAGGTACAAGTTATGTACAATTATGTACAACAATTATCATGAAAAAGCATAGCAGTGAAACGTCATGTTTGACAGCTACTACGCGTACCAGTAGTGTCATCCAGCTGCTGGAGTCCAGCAGCTGTTTTTTCAAAAAGCATCATTCAATAATGATTTTTATTTCTGAAAAACTCAAAAAATCTTCTTTTTAATTATTTTTTTCGGATGGATAAAAATAATTAATTCACGATTTGGTTCAAAATTGGTCATGTTCTAAAAAAATAACATTTTTCCATTCGCTACAAACTGTCCATTTGAATTGACATTTTTGTTCTTATGCTAGCAACTTCAGCAGCTCGATGTGCACATAACAAATTCAGAATAGGCATTTTTTATTTTATAAATTGGTTTTATGTTTCATTTTTTTAAGCGGTACTTTTATCCGTGTTAAATGAATAAATTCTTGAAATATCTACACTGAAACAAAAAAAATCTTGATTCAGCTGCTGGAGTCGGACTATACATTTCAATCACATTCAAGAGAAGAATTGCAAAAATCAACATTCGGTAACTTTTACTACTAACTTAAACTAAAGAAAATTATATTATTATTATTATGCATTTAAAGTTGTTTAAAATTATTTTAGCAACAAAAATTAATAAAAATCCAGTAATAAATTATTGTCGTTGTTTGTTATAAACATAGATGCCTACTGAAATAGTTCGGTACGTTCATTTGACATATTACAGGTGGCGCGTCGAACCGCAAAACTACGTATTTCATTACTATGTGAAAAAGTACCAACATTTTTTTTTCAAAATTTGGATTTTTTAAAATTGAAAATATCAAAACCCGAAAATGTTTACCCGAAATTCGTACACCAGTGGTAACACCACCAAAGTGAATCTCATTAAAATGTAGGGGAATTGTGCTAGCAGTGGGACATGTTTTGTTTTTCGAAGAAAAAAATGAACCCTCGAGAAGCTGTATATACCATTTTAATGGTAATGTCTGTTGCTACATTTTTGCCAAAGAAACTTATATGATTCCGTTTCAAACAACATTTTTCTTGACAATTTTCTGAAGAGATGATTTTTTTTTATTAGATTTGAAAAATTTCAATCCGTTCACTTTCTGTAGCAAAAGGTTTAAAAATCTAAAAAACTCAATTTACGGAAAAAATTTACCCGAAATTCGTACACAACCGAAGTATATGTCATTAAAATGTACAAAATATGTATAGTCGTTTCCAAAAAGATCTGTGTTGTCAAACTAATACAATGAATTTCGGAACGCATTTCCATTCAAAAGTACACAAGGCTCCTTAGTTAAACGTGTCAATTTGGTTTGAATTTTGTTGAGGGTATGTTGTTTGTTCAAAATTTTGACGGTTCGCTGTAACAGATCTTATTGAAAACGACTATACAATTCAAATCAGATTTGAATAAATTCAGATAGGTAAACAAAATCACGCATCCTCAGTCAGAATTTATTTTGTACAATCGATGTTGATTTATGTACAAGTCAGATCTGATTTTGTACAATCAAAATTGATAAATATAATATATATAATACCCTCCCTCCCCTATATTGTATCTCTTTTTGAAAGTCGCACCATGGGCGGAATTTATGCCTTATTGGGCACATAGCCAGCATATGTGTCTAGTTCACTAGACTCACACAATGGTATAAATTTAGGATTGGTAATAAATAAATAAATAATAAATAAAGTCATGACTGTAAATAAGCTATTTTGTTAATTACAGACACCTCCTTTTGCCATTGAGAGATCGAATGAGAGCGCGCGCGCTCAATGGCATTATATAATTTTAAAAAAATATTTGTAAATTTACACAAGCGACCGAATCTGGCAAATTGGCAACTCCTTTTTTTACATTTTGGAAGGGTCACGTAAAAATCACTACGAGTGAGGGTGCATTTGGTGCAAACATGTATATAAGAAGTGAATATGAAGATATAATTGAAACGGCATTACTTATGGCAAAAACGATTGTACCAATAAAAGGCAAACAAACAATTCTGTGACTTGAATTGTGTGCAGCAGTTTTGTTGACAAAGGTAGTAAAAAAGGCGTTAGAAATAAATTGTGAAGTGCATTTATGGTCCGACAGTAGCATAGTGTTGGCGTGGATTTCTAACGACGAAACGCGATATAAAAAATGTGTGTCATCACGAATTGAAAAAGTGAAAAAACTCAAAAACGTATAATGGCATCACATCGATGAGAGGGACCACCACGTGAAAAAAATCAATTCCAAGACATATGAAAAGAAAAAAATTACAACTGAAAACGAAATCAAAATACATGCATTGTTGTCGACGAAAACGGTGAATGGTACCAAGTGCATCGTCGTTAACAAAACTGCAACGTATAATTGTGTATGTACTGCGATTTATTGAGGGTGCAAAAAACACGCTCTGTTCGCACTCCATTAAAAGCAATGTATTGGATTTCGAACACGCAGATATGCTGCTACCTGGTATCTCAAAGTTAAGCTGCTATAACGCACATGCTTCTTGTAAATGAAGAAGAAGAGGAAAGCAATAACTTTACATAGGGTTGAACTTATAAATGTCAGAGAGCAGCACAACTGTAGTGTTCAAAGTGCGATTGCCCTTCGGCAAAAAACAAGGAACGAAAAAATAATGTTCCGATTACAATGAATGAAATAAGAAGCTCAATGAAAAAAAAAACATAAAAATAGTACAAGAAGAGCACTTTAGTGAAGAGTTATGGGCATTAAAGAACGGAATTTTTTTTAAAAAATCAAGTGTGGTCAGCAATTTGTGCGTTTTTCTGGACAGTGTTCAACATTATTAGAGTGAGCGGACGCTTAAAAAATTCAAGTTTACCGTTTGATATGAAACATCAAATTTTGTTGCCTAATTAAAGCGAGCTGACAACGTTAATAATACGCGAAAGCCATAATGTAATGCTACACGGTGGTCCAAGGGTAACGGAAGCGTATGTCCGACAAAAATATTGGATTATGAAAAGTCAAACCACCATCAAAAAAGAAATACATGGGTGTGTAAAGTGCGCGAAATATAATCCGCGAGCAAACAAACAGTTAATGGCCGATTTACCAGCGATGAGAGTTGAAAAGGTGACAAAACCGTTTTTGAAATGTTCAATTGATTTTCGGGCTCTATTCATGTGAAAGCGTCAAAATTACGGAACAGCAAGGTCATGAAAGGTTACATTTCAATTTTCATCTGCATGACAACAAAGGCGGTACCAATGTCGGAATATGATGACGTTTTATTTTCAACCAAAAGTATGTTTTAGCGTAGATGGCGCTGATTTAAATGGACATTTGTATGTATAGACGGTGGCGCCGCCCTACTCAATTAAACACTGAACTATAGCGTTTCCAATCGTTGGGCGGTACACATAGAACCAGTAGGTGTTCTAACGGCGGAAAGTTTCGTTGCATGTTTACGACGATTTATTGCAAAACGGAGCCTAGTATCGGATTTATACTCGGACAATGCCACATATTTTGTACGGTCAAACAAAATTCATTTGAAAATGAATTAGAAGGAGAGCTATTACGTAAAGAACGAACTGGCGGAGGCAGCCGCAAATAATACATTAACTAGAGGAATAGTAATATCCAATCTTCCGTTGAAAAGCCAAGAAGTGAGCGGAGGGGGAAGGATCCACCAGTGGAAAAGACTAACGTTAAAGTACGTCAAACTACGCCACGACGCACAAAACGAACAGCAATGCCAATAATCACAGCATTATTAGCTATCAAGCTCCGACAAATGCCTACATGCACGGCAACAATAACAACAACAATGATCAACCAACGAGATAAACGGGGTTTATTTGAGCAAGCCAAATACTATGGAGACTTTGGTGAACTCGCTGAGAAAATAGACCAACTAAGCCAATCCATGAATGAACTGGAATTAAAGCAAGAAAAGGAGACGATAGAGCGAAAAGAAGACACCAAACGTGGATCACGACAATTATACATCTGTGAATACCAGAGTATTGCTCAGCGCTGCTGCCATCCACAGCATATTAAAATATCTTGCTGAGAATGCGTCGTCCGTCGCATGCGAATGTACGTAGCAGTTTATACATCACAGCGAACAAGAATTAATGCATTGTTCTCTTCACGATTATGTCACTTAAAACATTCAAACGATTTCATAGAGAACAATACTCTGTATATATCGGCGTAAATTTCTCATGGAATTTTTTAATGCATTTAGTTTCGTATATTATAGGAAAAAAAGGAATAAAGGAAAGACGGAAACAACCAAGGCAACAAAAAGGAATCTGTCGTATCGAAAGCATCGAACTGATTAAGATACCGGTCACACACGCGACAGCGCAAACAGAGAACATCAAAATATCATCCATACCAATATCATTATCACGAAGCATCCAAATCAGAAGACTATCGGGAACCACCACTTGGCCTTGAACTCAATAGTTTCATTTTGATGGGCGCCAGAATGTTCAATGAACATTGAACAACAAATTCAATTTTATGCATCTTTTCAAAATTAGCTTACGTTTCATATCACATTTCATTTTACTTTGTTCAAATTTACTTTAAACTAATTCCAATGTTTCAATAAATTCAGTTATGCTGTAGAACGCTAATCGTTGAGTTGTCTTTTAATTCCCCATTTAACAATGCATTTTGTGGATCACAGTGCGGAAAAGTTCATCTTACGGATGTGAGACATTTTATTTATATTGATAAGAAATGTTTAATATAATACCAAATGATGAAAAAGTTCTTGCTTGTTTTTTGACATTGAACTCAATAATGTTCAGAGCACTTCAAGGTTGTAAATTTGGTTATTTTTGTTATAATTTGTTGG